ACCATAACTTTACATTACGATGGTGTTGTGTTTAAATGAGAAACAAAGAACTGAAATCCTAATTATGGTTGGATACGGAGATAGGATCCGTAGTTATGATGAAGTATGTCAATTATTCAATGCCAAGTATCCAGAGCAACCAATACCTCTGTCTACAGTATGCAGATTAGTACCCAAATTTGAAGACGTTGGCCATGTTAGAAATCTGTCTAGATCTAGAAGGCCAACGACAGTGACAGAAAATGATAGGCAAAATGTTATGTTTAGCTGTCACTGAAAATCCACACACTGCCATTCGTCGTATCGTCGAAAACGCCAACATATCAATACATAAAAACGTACCTACAATCAACCAAAACACAAAACATCCCCAAATTTCCATTTTTTACTGTGGCACTATTCTCCCATCAGTTTATGATACCTACTTTTGTTGTTATTTTAAAACATGTCCATTCCAGTCATTGGCATTTTTTTCGCTCCTGTCAAAGTAAAGTAGGCCAAACCCTAAATCGACGTATTTCCCTTCAAAAGGACTATCCATTTATGCTTAAAAAATTAAGTAGTGCTATTTAAAAAAAATGTCCATGACGTCATAGATTTATGAAACATAGCGCAAAAAAGGTTTAAGCAACGTGACAAAATGACAATTCTTATTTACTAATTGACGTGTTTTAGCGTTTTTTTGAAAACGCAACACAAAATAAAATACGAATTTTTTGCGTTACTTGTGGGACACACTGTATAATGAGAAGGCGTAGGTGGAAATAGTTTTGTATTCCATAATGTTTTTTATTAGAGCATCCGGGTTCTTATGCGGTTTAGTGTTCTGTTTTCCTCTTCTGTCCCATTCTACAGTACCACTTTCACCAATTTTTTTCAAAACGGTGACTACAACTTTCAGAAATTGTAAGCGTACTTAAGAACATCGTTTTGCAAATTTGTTTCTCATTATTGTCGATGACAAACTTATTATTGCGAGAAATTCCTTCTGGAATATTTATTATGTACAGTAACCTGCTTTTTTTCTCGTTGTGTCACGCACCTTACAGGAAAATCCCACTGCCGAATATGATCTCCACGGTTCTAAAATTCGTCAAAAATGACTTTTCTAGCTTCTTCATTAATTTTTTTGTTGCATTTATACCAACAAGTTTCTTTACAAGGTGATTTCATTATCTTTGCAAAAATAAGTTTGTCTTTACGATTTTTATGTTGAAGACCTCTATTAAGTTCTGTCTTGGCTTTGTTATCTATCCACTCATTTTCATTTCTGACACGTTTTCTCCTTACCTTTAGTTTTTTTGTGACTTTGCGTTTTCTTTTAGGTAATACCACAGGTAATGACAAATTTTGCATCTCGTTATCAGATTCATCCAGATTTTCATTTGCAGATTCTGTTTCTGATGGAATTTAATTTGGATCCTCATCAGAATAATCGGAAGAAAATAAATTCATATTAGTTTCATCCTCATAGTAGGTAATTATTATGAATTTCATTTTCGTTGCCTGCAAAAACAAAATTTCATTCAAATTTTAATTTATAAATTGATTCTGTCTCACCCACGCAGCGTGCAACGCGCAAACGCGGTAGACATGACAGAAGCTATTTACATGCTGCCATCTGGATCGAGCTTGCAAGGCAACTATTTGCAGCTCAAATTAAAGCTTATTAGTTATTTCAAGCACCATCATTAAAATATTAAAAATATACTTTTAATATATGTACTTACCCTTGCAGTACTTAATTCTGTTTTTACAGAATTTTTTAACAGAAAAAAACTCATTGGGATAGGTGACTATGAATCGTCATTTCTCCGGCTCCAGTACAAACTACCAATATCTATTTGCAGTTCAAATTAAAGCTCATTTCAAGCGCTATGCCACTATCTGTAGAAATATAAGTATACTTACCAGTGCAGTACTCATGCCGTTTTCACAGATTTTATTTACGCTATAGCTCTATAGGCTACGTCCAAACTATGATTGGTTTTAAAATTATATAAAATTATATTAATATAGGTAATAAACTTAAACCTATTGACATCGACTCAGGATACAGGATACAGGAAATCAATAATAGTTTGGACATAGTCCAAGGGCTTTAAAAAATTTTAAAGCTCTCGCTTATTATTTATATTACAATTTTTTCTTCCAAGCACATAACTTATACGGCTATAGGGTAAAGGGTTATTATAAGGGTAAAAGATTTACAGTTTGGGAGATATAATTTCTCGCGTTTTTCTCCAGGCCCATGGCTTATAGATAAAGAAGTTATTAGCTTAAAGGGCTTACGGTTTGGAATATATATTTATTTCTCTCTTTCTTTCCTATAGGTACATTGTTTATAGGGGTATAGGGCAAAATAATAAAATTTGTGTTATTTTTTTGACCTGGGAAAATTCCATTCCTACAAAAGATTCAATTTTCATTTTTACGTTCTTCTTTTTTCTTTTCAATTTACGGTGGCTATATCTCAAGAATTTACAAAAAATTTTCTTATACTTTTGGCGCCTCGTTAGTTGTTTGGGGGCCTATCTTCCAAAATAAGTCGGGTTTTGCCGACTTCCCGACCTGGCCAGACCGGGCCTGAATAACATGAAGAAACACTTAGTTTGTTTCGCTTTTAATTTCTCGTGTTATCAAAACATAGTGTTCGTTAAATCTATTTTTCTCGAAAATGGATCGAGATACCGAAATGAAACAAGAGTACATAATTAATGGAAAAATTATTGCTCTTTCAGGTTTTGAATTAAGTTTCATATTAGACATACAGGGTAAAAAATTATTAACTAAATTTTCGGTAAAATTGGTCGTAAGTGGCGCCCTCTATGAGCAATGCTGAATTTACAACACGCATCTTATTCGTCGCTTAAAAAAATATAGTTTCTCAAATTTGAAGTTTCTAACCCACATATTTTCAGAATAATCGCAAAAAAACGGTTTAAAATTTTTACTTTCAACACCCTGTATTTCCGAAACTATCAACTTTCGGATAAGGCATATTTGGGCCAATTTTACGTGTAGTATCTTCAGCTTTCGATTTTCCCATTGTTAATTAATCACCCTGTATATAATAGTATATTGAATTATCTTGTAATATTCGATTTGCTAAAGAAAATATTTTTTGCCCAAAATATAATTGAATTGGTGAGTTCGAAAACCGTACATGTCTAAAAACTTCATCTTGAGGTATACGGACATGTATGGTTCTCCACTTCATTGATCAGTAACGACCTATTAAATACCGTTAACGGTTAAGTAGCTTGTATGGTTTTCATGCTCACTTGGTGAGGGAACATGTTTTATACAAAATGGCTATCTTCATTTAAAATATCCAATTTTGGACTTGTACAGTTTTCAAACTCACCGATTCAATTATAATTCTGGTAGAAATATTTTGACGATATTATTATACGAGGTGGAACAAAAATGGGGGCCATTACTTAAGAAGCATATCCTACTCATCAAAATAAATATGATGTTTAAGTTGGTATTTCTGATTTTTTATATTTAAAACACCTAAAGATCAACAAGTGATAATTTGCACATCCTTTATAATACTAAATAACAACTGAACCAGAATTGTTCAAGACTGAATCAAACCTGGGTCTAGGTACAACTTTGCTCTATATTTCTTAGTGTCTTATTTAAAACCATAACGTAAATATTCAAACTTTTTTACAACAAAAATACTTTTGCCTTTTTTATTTAAAGTTTCCCAGTTTCAAGTAGTATTGAATTACTTCATATCAGTGTACATTTAAACGTCACCACAAAAAAGAAGGAACTTTACTTTTCTCAGAGTTACCCACCAATAAATGAGTGAAGTTTATAGTTGTCATATTGTTTGATAACAAATGTGTAAAATAATAACTACCCATTTCTATTATTCTTGTTTTTCAATTATCCTTGGATGGACAGATAATCGAGGTTCTACTATATCTTTTTTAATCATTTAAAAACAAGCAGATAATTTCATAAGCAATGACATTTCTTGCAAGAAAAAAGTGTTCTCTAAGAAACAATTATGGGTCATATTGTAGGTAGCTGCTGTGGGCGTAAAACTTTTAGAAAAAAATTTAGAAAAAAAAATTTACTTTTGCTTATTTATTATTTGGATGAAAGAAATCAGTCCAGAAAATTTATCATAACATCAGCTTCCACTCTTGCCATAAAAACACCGAATGTACTTTACTTGTATAAAATAAGTTTGTAAACATAAATTCCTTATTAACTAATTTTGATAAAAATTAACATGTCTTTTTAAAATATACTGTATTTGATTATCCAGATTTGTCAGTTTAATTAATTCGAGTAACTGGTTATTAGTAAAGAAATTTAATAGTCACTATTACTGAATTTAAATTTAATAATATCTTGCTGCTAATAGAGTTTCATTTTAAATATTTTAAAAATCTGTAGGAAAATCCATCTTTAACAAAATTTTTCTATTAATTATAATAATGTGGTAGTTTTGTGATGTTTTCCCATTGTTGTCACATTTATCGAGTTTTTGATATGATCTTAGAAAGTAGTAAAAACATTCAGAATAATGAATAATAATCCATTACATACAGAGCTTTCATAAATGTTTACAATTCACGTGATCACCGAGCTTAGGCAACCAATATTGGTAAAAAATATCTTGACGCCACCAATATTAATAATTCGTTTGGCATGAACAATGACAAACCGTTGTGTCTATGCTATGATCGCTGATTAATTGAATATAATCTCATGAAAAATTACATCAATCACAGCCGGTTTTAGTAATTTTTAATTTTACCGAAATTTAAATGCGAACATGAAAGAAATAAAATTACTGTTCCAAACAAACTTTACTGGTCCCGTGGCTTGTGAACATTTATGAAGGTTATGTAGTTATAATTTAACAAAAATATGCTTGTAATATAATTGCATTAGATGTAGAATTGTCAACCTTCCTTAATTTAATTTTTTTTAATGCAAATATTTTATTTATGAAATTATTTTTTAGGTAAAAAAAGGATCTGGTTCAAAGACTCTTCCATCCAATAATTCTCCATCTCGTACAGTAGAATCACCAAGTATGGCAAGACGATTACCAGCTGATCCTTCTGAAGCTATTGGAATAGCTGTAGTTAAATATAACTATCAAGCACAACAACCCGATGAATTGTCCCTTGTTAAAGGTTCAAGAATACTCATTTTGGAGAAAAGTAATGATGGTAAGTAGAATAAAATTTATTATGCAATCTAACAAAGCCTATACTATTTACCTGACCATTTGACAGTTAACTGACAGGTAGGTAATGAATATGGTTGAGTAAAGGTGGCAGTACCACACTTGATATCTTCTGTTTCATTGGTTGTAGCAATTAAGTCAAACAATAATTCGTATACCTAAATTCGTATTGATATCTAAACTGGTTTCAGAGATATCCAATAAAAACCTCTTTTAGGGAGTCATTTTTTAAAAGCCATGTTACACTTGTAAAGCATTCTATAAATCTGGAAAACTGAGAAAATCCAGAGAAATTCACTTTATTTTATATATGTTTTAATATATCGCATAGAATAGAATATAAATTTATTTATACTAGGGACAAATATACATTTGTATAGTACAAGTCAAAAAGCAAACGATGTCTACAATTCTTCGTAATAACAGCAATAAAACTTAAATGCTAAAATAAAGCAAAAACTAAACAAGAAGTAGTAAAATCAAATGAGCACAACAATGAACAAATAGTGTTTAACAAACAATAAAAAAAAATTATAACTATCAACTAGAAAGGTATTCAAGTCGACATAGATCAACTTGACCTTTCGTGTTCGACAACAAACAACGCTAATAATTCTAATAAATCTAATAGGACAGGAAAAAATTTAGTTTAAAAATCCTGTCTTAGGATTTACATTTATATTTTAGTGTGTAAAATCACCTTCACTTTTTTTAATCATTCTCACATTTTTACTTTATTATAAAGGTATTAAGCTAATTTAAATAAATTCAAAATAATTTTTCCTATGAAATCCGGCAAATGAAATCAAATAATGTTTTTCGATAACAAAAATGTGGGTATGCAAATGATATCTAACCTCACAAACAAGATTGTTAATTGTTGATATTGGTGAAAACATCTAATTAATAATTTTAAATTTTCCAAAACAAAATTATAAAAATACACACTTAAGGAGGTTTATCGGGGTCCGAGGGAAGTGAGGATCGCAGGGGGGGTCCTATGCTTTTCATATGGGACTAAAACCCACTGCCAACTTGAAGAAATTAAATTCTATTGAAATTATTTGCGATAAACATCTATATAGCAAAGAAATCTACTCAATATGCACATAGCATGCATATTAACTAATTAACAACTTAAAAATATCATATTTAATTAGTTTTGTATAATATTTATTGAACGCGTAAACACTATGTAGATGTGGCAACAGCGCTAATGATCGAGTAGCAGTTGTGCACACTGCGAACCTACAGACCTCGGACATCGGAGATATTACGTGGAGTTTGAGTTTGACAGCGAAAGAGAGTGGAAGCTCGGTGCCGCAAAAGTCAAAAAAACATAATAGACAGAATACCAGGTATTTATAGGCTATACCTTCCTTTGTATAGATTACCTTGTTCCTACCTATATTAGTTAATAAAGGGGTGGTTTAACAAATGGGTGAAACAACAGGGGGGCCAGGCCCCCCTAATTTGATATCAAATATTAGTTTGGATATTAACATGGAGAATAAAGAACAAATGAATATAAAAATACTACTAAAAAATACTACTGATAATATAAAACAAACAGGGAAAAAAACTGCCAAATATTCATATCTTGATAAGGGACCGTATGAGGTACATATAGAAGCAAACTTAGAAAATAAGAATATGTATAGGGAATTATAATTATTTTGCTATTGCACGGGTAATATTTGATCTTAAGTTAGATAATATTAAAAAAATTCACAAAAAAGGGGAAAATAGATTAAGTGCTGAATTTAGAGATTTTAAAGCAGCAAATAACTTTTTAGATAGTAATAATTTAAGGGAAAAAGGATGACCTGTTTATTCCGACTGTTGAAAGATACTCAAGTTACGTATACAAAAACATTCCCATCCTTAGATACTGCCTACGTTTAACGTGTTTATATATTTATCAGCTGAAGGTTCAAGAGTCCTTTGTCCGTAAATTAAAAATGCTTATAAACATACGGAGGTATATTGAAGTACTGGGCTTGGGAAAGACTTTTAGTTTCTAATCTGATTTGATACTGAATAGATGTGCTCTCTGAATAAGTGAATAAACAATATCTTTTAATTATTAAAGTGTTTTAGTTGTTTTCTTAGTTTTCACTACTCTCTCTCGACCTTTCCGGCTTGGGTGACCCTGCCAGGAGTATGAAACTCCCGCCGGTTTAGCTCTTGGGTTCACTGTAGCTACTTAAGCCCCTCCGCCAGCGACAAGGTCATACAGCTCCCAGGAGGGGTAAGCTAGAGCCATGATACACGGTGCTGAAATAAATAAATGTTTCTGGGGTTAAGCCATTCTAACTGCTACCTATATATTAAATTTAACGCCAACAAAAGCAGTAGCTCAAAATAAAACACCTTTTGAACTATGGCATAATAAAAAGCCTAGATCATTTAAAAAAATGTTTGGTTGTACTGCTTATGTTTTGAACAAAACAAGAAAAAGTAAATTCGAACAATAATCAGTAAAAGGAATAATGGTTGGCTATGAACATAATGGCTATAAAATTTTTAATGTTGAAACAAATAAATTTATTACAGCACGTGATGTATTGTTCGATGAAAAAAATTTTAAAACATCAAGACCTCAGTTAGAACTTGATGAAGGGGTTGAAATAAAAAACTCCCAAAGTGTCAAAATACCTAAAACTGATAAAAAATCGGTAAACAACTTCCCTTCTATTCAAGGGGAGCCAACAACAGAAACCGATAATATAAATCAGTTAAAAGACACTCAAAATGAATCTGAGACTCCAGTTACTGAACTCAGACGTAGTGAGAGACTTAAAAATTGCAATAAAATATCATACCAGGAAAATGATATAGAAATTCTCATGTGTGTAAATCACTCTCTATTTGAAATCCCGTCATGTTATCAAGACATAAGTAAACGGGATGATAGAGTTAAATGGGAAGAAGCAATTAATACTGAAATTAATTCTCTCCTACAAAATAAAACATGGACTCTAGTATCTAAGCCTAAAAATAAAAATATCGTGGATTGTAAATGGGTATTTACAATTAAAAATGACATAAATGGAAACCCATGTAAATATAAAGCGCGTCTAGTTGCGAAAGGATTCAGCCAACAATATCTATCAGATTATACTGAAACATTCGCACCGGTAGCACGTATATCCACGTTGCGAATACATGCGATAGCTTTCGCAAATCAATTTAATTTATTAGTCCATCAAATGGATGTACAGACGGCATATTTAAATGGTCTATTAAAAGAAGAAATATTTATGCAGATACCCGAAGGAATAAATAGTGATAACGAAAATGTTGTTTGTAAATTAAATAAAGCACTATACGGGTTAAAGCAATCGGCAAGATGCTGGTTTGAAAGATTTGATGAAATATTAAAACAACATAACTTTAAAAACTCGACAGTTGATCGCTGTTTATACTTTCTCGAAAAGGGTCATGTAAGGGAAAATATTTATGTTATACTATATGTGGATGACTTGTTAATTGTTACTGGTAAAATGAATACTATGTCAGCTTTCAAAAATTATTTAATGCATCAATTTAAAATGGTCGACCTCAATGAAGCAAAAATTTTTCTTGGCATTAGAATTCAATGAACTGAAAGTGAAATTTTATTAGATCAATGTCAATATTTAAAAACAGTTCTAAATAAGTTCAATATGAGTGAGTGTAAGCCAATAAATACACCACTACCAATGAAAATAGATTACATTGCTTTAAACACTGATGACAATTATAATGCTCCTTACCGTAATTTAATTGGTTGTCTAATGTATGCTACATTGTGCACACGTCCTGATTTGTGTACAGCAGTTAATTTATTAAGCAGGTATCAAAATAAAAACAATAAATTGTTATGGCAATATCTTAAGCGAGTTCTAAGGTATATTAAAGGTACTATTGAGCTCAAACTAACTTATAAAAGAACTGATTACAATGAAATATTGACAGGTTATGTTGATGCTGATTGGGGAAATAATGAAATTGACCGGAGAAGTACTACAGGCTATATTTTTAAATTATTTCAAAGTTGTCTAATTTGCTGGAACACAAAAAGGCAAACTTCAGTAGCAGCTTCATCAACTGAAGCTGAATATATGGCTATGTATGAAGCAGTACGTGAAGCTTTGTGGTTAAAATCACTGTTAACTAGTATAAAACTAGAAATATCGAAGCCAATTATTTTATTTGAAGACAACAATAGCAGTATTGCAATTGCAAATAATCCTGTATACCATAAACGGTCAAAACATATAGACATAAAGTATCATTTTACCCGTGAACAAGTTGAAATGAAAACAATAACTCTAAAATATATTTCTACAGGTGAACAATTGGCAGACATCTTTACAAAACAAGTTCCTGCCGAGAAATTTCAAGCAATAATATTTAAGTTAGGATTGATACTAAATAATCGTTAAAATGGTCGGATTTGGTTATTTTTCTGGGGTTTTTCCCAAATCTCAAGCAATGAATGTTGGACCATAATAAATATAAGATTACCCCCAGAATTAATTAAAAAATAGTAATTAAGAAAGAAATAATAATAATAAATAAATAATAATTAATTAGAGATATTGTTAGACTTCACATTAATTATTATTATTGTTCTTGTAGTATTATAGGGTTTGTTTTTGAAGGGGAGTGTTGAAAGATACTCAAGTTACGTATACAAAAACATTCCCATCCTTAGATACTGCCTATGTTTAACATGTTTATATATTTATCAGCTGAAGGTTCAAGAGCCCTTTGCCCGTAAATTAAAAATGCTTATAAACATACGGAGGTATATTGAAGTACTGGGCTTGGGAAAGACTTTTAGTTTCTAATCTGATTTGATACTGAATAGATGTGCTCTCTGAATAAGTGAATAAACAATATCTTTTAATTATTAAAGTGTTTTAGTTCTACCCATAATCCCAACACCGACAAAAAATGTCACTTGTAAGGGTATAGTTTGACGTATAGAAAAAA